GAAGGGGACCGGGGTGGTGAGGAGCAGCTGGCCCGCCGCGGGCGGCAGGGCTGCGGCTTTGCTGGGCTTGGGAGTGCCGCTGTCCACGAGCACGGCCGTCGTGGCCTTCCCGGGGACCGTGCTGCCCTGAGCGGTGACAGAGACTTTGCCTGTTGGGGACACCTCAGCGCTGCTGTTCGCGGTGGCGTCAGAGCCGGTGGTGGGGACGGCAGAGCTGCTGTTGGTGCCGGACGGCTGCAGGACCTTGCTGCTGCTCTCTTTGGTGGTGCTCTAGGTGGTGGGCATCACGGTGCTGCCCACACCGGTGGTGTTGGTGCCGGGCAGTGGGACCGCGTCGCTGCCGTTCGTCGTGGGGTTGGAGTGGGGGATCGTAGCGCCGATAGAGATGGGCACCACGGTGCTGTTAGCCGTGGCGTTGCTAGCAGAGCTGTTTGTGGACTGCACGGTTGTGGTGTTGCTCGTGGTGGAGTCAGGAGAGAGAGTCAGGGATGTTCTTGCGGTGAACAGGAGCGTTGTCGTGCGGAAGGGGACGGAGGTCTGGGTCCCGTTGACTCCTGTGGCATTGGAGGTGGTGGCGTCTGGAGTGGTGGTCACAGAGGTGGTGGTCGTGTCTGTGGTGGTGCTTGCGGTGGTGGTGGTCTCAGTGGTCATCTCTGTGGTGGTCAGGTCTGTTTCCATGGTGGTTGTGTCCGTGCTCACAACGCATGTCCCTGAAGGAGAAAGACAACCAGGAGTCAGTAACTGGGGCTGCAGCAGCTGCTTGGGAAGAAACAGGGCAGAGCGCCGAGCTGCAGCAGGGAGCGGAGGTTGCAAGAGCTCCTGCTCCGAGGGCAGCAATGTTATGCAAGGAGGCTCCTTGGCTGGACAGTCCGCTGGGCAACGAGGCCCAGGGAAGCACCACGACCTCCAGGACACAGGCGCCTCCAGACCCTCCTGCCCTTTAGGCCACCAAGACCTTCAGGAACATCCCACGATGGTGACCTGCGCTGGGGCAGAGGGTCCCAGGGCACAGTCCGCTGGGCAACGAGGCCCAGGGAAGCACCACGACCTCCAGGACACAGGCGCCTCCAGACCCTCCTGCCCTTTAGGCCACCAAGACCTTCAGGAACATCCCACGATGGTGACCTGCGCTGGGGCAGAGGGTCCCAGCGCGGGTCCTCGGCTGGCCGGGAAAGCTGCTGTGCCGTGAGGTCCCAGCGCAGACCCCGCGGCCGGCCCGGGTGACGGGCACGGGGCTGCAGGTGCTCGTCGTCGCCCAAGCCCCGCGTCCCCGCGCTGGGGGAAACCAGCCCATAACAAACCCCCCC